ACTTTTGGGACTTAAGAGAAAATAATTGTCTTTGCCATTCTCAGTATGATTTTTATGGCTGCATCACTCCCTGCTTTGCAAAAGTTGCCTAGAATTGGGTAAGGGTGGGGAAGAAATCACAAGCAAAGTGCCAAGGCATATGCACATTTAGTTTGTAAACCTGACTTTAAAGCTGTGATTTCTTTTTCCTGTCCAATGGCAGCCAATTTTGGAATCAGGTGCTGTAGAGCTACTTTGTGGATTGACCCAGAGTGAAAATCCTGCTTTACGAGTGAATGGAATTTGGGCTTTAATGGTACGTTTCACTTTTACATGTATCATAATTTACAAAAGGAATAGAGCTATTGTCTAAATTAGAACTATAAATAATGTGTTATTTAAAATGTCTGGAATTTTATTTTTCAAAAATCTTGCTATTTTGTTCTAGTTTTCTGATGACTAAGATCTAGAAGACTTAGTACTGAACTAAGGTTCAATGGTAAGCAAGGTTTAACTCTAAGCAAGTTAAACTTCCATTCTCTTATTATTAAGAAAAGTGAATAGATGTTGAAACTTATCTAATTCTGGGAAAATAAATTTTCCTCATCATCAACATATTATGTTTTGTGTAGTCCTACCTACTTGACAAGCACTTTCGTATCTCCTTTGCTCTGCAGAACAACTTTATGATATCAGCCAGGAAGTTCTTACCATACTTTATAGATGAAGTAAACTGAGACACAGAATGATTATTTTATTTTTTTATTGGCAAATAAAAATTATATGTGTTTATAATGTACAACACAATGCTTTGAAAGATATATAGGTGGTGGAATGGCTAATTTGAGCTAATTTACATATGTATTACCTCACATACTTAGCCATTTTTTGCAGAATGATTAAATAACTTGTCCAAGGTAACAAAATTGGTGCATAAATACTTACTAATTTTTTAACAGTTTTTAGTAAATAATTTATAATAGATTCTAAAACTTTATGAGGTTAGAGAATTATTTCTCCTTAAGATTATTAAACTTTTCTTGAGATTGAAAATAGAAAGATCCTAAATTGATTTTTAAAACATATGTATTCTATGTACAATTTAATTGCTCTGTACCAGACATTAAGCTGGGTGTTTTATTTTTATCTCTAATTCTTATTTTAAGATATATTGGTATATATTCACCTTACAAATGGAAAACTAGGACTTAGGAAGGGTAAGCCAATTGTGAGGGTGAAGGCCTCACAGCTAATACTGGAAATGGGTTCAGAACCTTTTCTAAGCCTGTATTTTTCTCCCTGTTCCATGCTGTATCTGCCATGTTTTTATACAGACTTTGGGATAGAAATAATTATCTTCTAATAAAGCAACAAATCCGTAGTTTCACAGTTATTTTTCTCCTAAACTTTGTACAGCTTTTAGCACTTCTCTTTCTTGAAACTTCTTCAGAGGACTTTTTTTTTTTTTTTTTT